ATATATATATATATACAAGCCTTGTATTGATGCATTTTCCTTTTCTCCTGCAGGTGCCGGAGTTCCCCAGTTTCAGCCAATCGCTTTGAATGGACGAATACAGCTTCTCAGTAATGGCTCCTTGTTGATAAAGCACATTCTGGAGGAAGATAGCGGATACTACCTCTGCAAGGTCAGCAATGATGTGGGAGCTGACGTCAGCAAGTCCATGTATCTCACGGTTAAAAGTAAGAGCTGGAACAATTTATTACTTGCTAATCCAAAATCTTTATTTCATCAATGGAGGGTATTATTGCATAAAGTTTTAAGACTGAAGGATCTTGCCTACAACAATCAATCCGATGTCTGACTTTATCTTATATTCTTCATGTAAAAGACGGAGCTGGAATCGGATTGGTTGGGGTGATACAAAGATCTGCCTATTTTCATTGCTTCCTTTCCCTTTCCCTTTTTGTGTTTCCCTTTCCATATATCAGTCCTTTATCTATCCCTTCCCCTTCAATTGAGGCAATACTTTACTATATCACCTGCGACTTGCTGTTTAGCTTAGTATGGCTGTTGTTGTAATGAAATGTAATTGTTTTTTAATGTATACAATTTAAAACAGTTTATTGAAGTGTGTATGCTTCAGGTCCAAGCAACTGTAGATTTTCAGCACCTGGAATTTGGATTCAATTATGCGGGCCATCAGACTGAGGACATCTAAAAAAAAAAGCACTGTGGGGGGAAATCTCTGGACTGAAGCTGAATTTTGCATCAAACTCTGGTTTTATGTGATCATTAATGTGGTATACCTTTTTATCTTATTTTTGGCTGGAGTTCTGCTTTAAGAGGGTAATTATTAGTTTTGTACACTGGCGGAATGACCAGAGTTGCAGAGGTTGCGTGTGCGATCGGGCCCTGGAGTTAATCCACTTGGGGGGGCAGAAAGTAGGAAGAGGGCCTGGCCCCTTCATGGAACCGTCATGATTTCTTGCACCGAGGCCCTGAAGTTTCTAGTTACGCCTCTGCTTATGTATTAAAGCTCTTCCTCTCTGCTTTGTAAGCCTGTCATCTTTATAATCAGCTAATTAATGGCAAACACCGCAAGGTGCCGGTACATAACCCGTTCTTAAACCTTTTTTGTGAGCTCCGGGGCAGTTCTTCCTCACTTTTTGCCCCTTTGCACATGTGCCAGAACTTCAACCTACTGAGTGCACCTAAAGTCTATCTATAACCAGACTTTTTTTTTTTCTTTTTATATAGGAATTTGTGAAATCCTATTTTTTTTTCTTTGTCATCTGTTCCCTATTGGAGAGATTTCCCTTCACTTGGAAAAAAAGAGGAAGTGAGAGAAAATCTCTCCAAAGTGAGGGGAAATCCCTTTGTAAAAAGTTGTCCCCATTGAAACATTCCCCCTCTCCATCTGTTCTGTTGACCACTCTATATTTCAAAGTTCCCATCTTTTTCAGTCCTGTTTACAGTGGTCACCAGGACAGATCGAGAGGGTGAATCCCAAAGTTGAATGGGGGGGGTGCTTGCAGTGATCCGCGGATGGCGCCGCCACACAGCATAAAGATGAATAAATGTCACCAGCACACAACCAGTATTGCAGTCCAAAGAGTTCGTTTATTGGAACGTCACCAAAAATATCGTTTTCGGGGCCACGCAGGGTCCCCTTCATCAGGCTCAGCAATGATTGCTGAGTCTGATGAAGGGGACCCTGCGTGGCCCCGAAAACGATATTTTTGGTGACGTTCCAATAAACGAACTCTTTGGACTGCAATACTGGTTGTGTGCTGGTGACATTTATTCATCTCCTCATCCTCCTGACAGGATTTCATCCGAAACTACAAACAACCTGTTTTAGGCATACACTTTAAAGCTGAAATGTGGGCAAAAACTTTATTGGGGCAAGAAATACAGTATGTACCAATACAGTACCTCTATTGATTTGTGCCCCAATGGTGGCTGCTGCTTATTTCTTGAAAAATATTACTTACATATAGCTTCAGGCAGTGATATCTGACTGACGTGGCTGGAGCTCAGAGATCATAGCAGGTTGCTCGCTTTAAAAAATGTCTTGTATTCTTCTCAAAGGATACAAGATGTTCTGTGATTGGACATGGTGTGTATGAACCTCATGACCCCCCCCCTTGCCCAATCACAGAACGTCATGTATCCTTTGAAAGGAACACAAGATGTTTTCTGAATGAAGGAGTTGTACAGCATGTGACTTGCTGTGATCTCTGAGCTCCAGCCCCAACTGTCGGTGTCATCACCAGAACCTCAGTGGTGCCATCACCATCAGACGTGATGTTTAAAGTCCTACCTAAGAGCAAACACTACAAGTCCTACCATTCGCTGTAATATTCAGGAAAGCTTCATCTGTTTTATCTCCAAATTACACTTCATTACTCAGGCATGACTTTACCCCATTTTGTTTTGCTAATTGCCATTCCACTGACCATTAAGACAACTTCGGCCTGGTGCCCATACCAACCAATCAGAATTTTTCTTCAGTTTTCTAACCTGTACTAGAAGAAGAATTGACACAACCTGGTTGCTGTGACAACTCGGTTCGATTTGTATTAAAATCAGCTACATTTTTATTTCCCTGTCTTCTCTTGAATATCCCTAAAACCTCTTTGGATGGGATTGTTGAGCTCCTTTTCAGCTCTGCTCATTGCTTGGTTGAAGCCCAGAGCATTCCGGCACAGCAGCTCCCTCTGGTAGGCAATAATTGATCCTGCATAATGAGGAGAGCCAGCACTTGCAAGGTCACCCTTCCTATCTATCCCAGCAAGCCGCCAGCAGGAGGGGAGTGCCAGGCGTCACTGCTGGCAGTATTTTAAAGAAAAGAAAATGACAAATGGTATACAAAAACATTTTTTTTACGTTTGTCATAGGGTACCATTGTACATACAAAGATTGCAAGGACAAATTCCCATCCTCTTCTGCATGTGTTTGTATAAAGTGATAACAGGATGTCTGTTTTAAAGGGCACCTGTTATTTTGCAGCAGACTATTGCAAAAAAGGATGGCATTGGTGAACCTAGGCATTACCTTTGTTTCTGCGTTTCTGGTGGTTTCTGTGTATTTTCTAAGGGTGACATTAAAGTGAACCTGACACTTTTCCCATTCAGTGTGAAGTTACAGATTAATGGCCCAGCTCCTCTACTATGGATACTTGGCTTCCCCAGCCCATTCACCTGGCAAAGCCCTGAGTAAAAAGACTTGTTATTCTGACTCCGATTGTTGTATTAGCGATGTATCCCTTGCTGAGACCCCTATGCCTGGCCTGTATACCCCTATGCCTGGCCTGTATAAGCAGATATAATCACTGCGGACAATCCTTATCAGATAGCTGAACTCACCAAATACCTTTTCCATCCACAAAGTACTTTATTCTGTGCAGCAGGTTACAGCAAACAACCGGATACAGCAGATTAATGAATTGGCGGTTTGTAAGGCGGTCAAAGATAATAATGTTTCCAAGCATGCAATGCAGATTAACATGTGGTCCTGTTAGAAGCAACCATGACACTCCACACTGAGCAAGAAAGGGGAAATGCATCATAGATGGGAGGAAAACATGTGCAATAGCCAAGTGCAATAACTAAAATGACCACTAGATGGCAGCACATGAATTAACCATACAGTATCAATGAGAAAATAGCTTAAAGAAGAACTATGGGGTCAGTGCTTTTCCCCATAGTTCTCCTTAGGGTAACGGGAGGACACAAACTAGCGTCCTCCCGTCACCCTAGGCTCAGTATACCCTAGGCTCAGTATACAGCTCGCAGTATACTGCTACGCCGCAGCCGGAGCGGATCCCGACATTGATGTCGAGATCCGCCCAGCTGCGTGAGTGACAGCTGGCTTTGCCTATCTAGAGGCAGAGCCAGCTGTACCCGCCCCCTGCCCCATCCGTTCCGCCAGTCAGTACTGGCGGATCGGAGCGGGGGGAGGGGAATCCAGCCCCTCCCCTGTCACGGCAGAGAGCCGTGACAGGATCGAGAGGTAAGCGAACCCGGTATGTGTTCGCTCACCTCCCGATCTACTGAGCTGACCTGTGACAGTCTCATTGTCACAGGTCGGCTAGAACTATGAGGTGAGTGAGAAGCACTCACCTCATAGTTCTCCTTTAAGGAAAATAAACTGTATACATTCTCACCTAACATTATTGTGAATATTAACTGTGACCATGAATACAACTATTGTGGCAGCACACTTGTCATAGACAGATATTTCATAGGGCTCTGCTTATAGCTAGGTCCTGGGGGACTGCCAGCAAAGTAAGTACAACTGAGAAGACAGGCTATCCGATATAGATAATTGCTTTAAATCTGAGCTCCAAAACTCCCATTTATACAGGTGAAACTCGAATAATTAGAATATCGTGCAAAGTTCATTTATTTCACTAATGCAACTTAAAAGGTGAAACTAATATATGAGATAGACTCATTACATGCAAAGCAAGATAGTTCAAGCCGTGATTTGTCATAATTGTGATGATTATGGCTTACAGCTCATGAAAACCCCAAGAACCCCAAATCCACAACCTCAAAAAAGAAGATTATTACATGCAATCAATAAAACAAGGATTGTACATAGAACAATATCGGACCTCTGAAAAGTACAAGCATGCATATGTACTCAGTACTTGGTTTGGGCCCATTTTGCAGCACTTACTGCAATTACTTTTGCACGATATTCTAATTATTCGAGTTTCACCTGTATATATTCCTCAGCAGGTACAAAGGATATAAATCCACTCTTTGTGCACCAAATGCCTTTAGCAACACTGTTATTAACTAGTAACACCACCAATACAGCCTGCCTGCAGACAAACTACAGAAGGGGGCAGATACAAGACCAGTCACTGTACAGAAAGAGAGAGCAGCAGTGACCGGTCTTTATTGCACAGAGGCCATGTTTCACACTGGATTACTACACAGTCCTGAAAGAAAGAGACAAAGCACACCAAGATTTACATCCCTCTTGAATTTAGAAGTTTGCTTAACCTGGAGTACAGTGTTAAGCCATTGGAATAGCTGCAGGGTTACAACTACTTCTGGGTCAATCATCACACAGGAGTTCAACTCTAGCCATAATATAGGAATGCCTGTCTCTTTTCCAGTTGTTGCCTCAGGGCTGCAATGTGTTTATTAGTAGGAAGCTTCAAGTGTAATTTTAATTGTGTAAAATGCATTTGCCTTAACAGTACCATTCACTGGAAACACCA